GACGACGTGGTAGCTGAAGTATCGAATTGGAAATTTCTATATATATCGATGATGATGGTAATGAGTTAGAACTGATGAAGCAAATTCGGGGTATGAGTTTGGTTTGTGAAGAAATTTCTTATGGAGTTGAGCTATGTATGTGGAGGCTGACTAATGGTATTCTCGATGATATTCGAGGGGGTCGGAATTCTAATTTGAGTTAAGAGATTGATAGAGTTTGTGTTCCAAATAGTGTGAGTTGGATAAGATTAATTTGGAATAAGAACAGTGAGATAGATTGCGTATCCATTCAGGTACTATGAAGAATTGTTTTGGTGACCATAGATGGAGAGAGAAATGATTGAGGTTGTATATGCTGATTAGACTTGTTGGAAGTCGAAGTGTGAACATCAGATACTGTTAGGCCTGATACAACTGTTGAATATTTCTGAATGGTATGGGATAGTATTCCCATGGATTTTGTGTCGGGTTTTCTGAAGAAGTTGAAGGAATATGATTCGATTTGGATGGTTAAGAATGGATTAACAAGAGTAACTCGTTACTTACCAGTGAAGATGAATCATTCTGTTAGATGGAAATCTGAGTTTTCCATTAAGATTTTGGAAAGGTTCGTAGACGCCTTGGATGTCATGTTGAAGTTGGACTCTGTCTAGCATCCGTGGACGGATGGGCAGACAAAGAGAACTATCTGGTATGTAGAAGATTTGTTGAGAACTTGTGCGTTGGATCAAGATGGACAGGGGATAGTTAATCATTGCTGATTGAGTTTACCTACGATAATCGCTATTATTCTAGTATCAGAATGACATCGTATGAGGGTTTGTATGGTAGGAGGTGTAGGACTCTTTTGTGTTGATGTGTGTCCAGTGAGAGTGTTGTAATCGGACCTGAGATTGTGTAAGAGACGATTGGGAAGATCAAGAGGAATCCAAGAAAATGCGTGTTTTGAGAGTTACGATAGTAACTGGTGTTGGTCGAGCTTGAGGTCTCAGAAGCACACGCCGTGTTTTGTTGATCTATATCAGAGTGGCGCAGCGGGAGCATGGGGAATAACATGTTAGACAGTTTTACCGCTATCGTTTGGAGAAATTGCATGATGTGTTCATGTGTCTAAGCTGAGGAAAGTTAGATTTGGGAGATTGGAATGTGAGAGTCGTATCCAGAGTTGTTTGAATCAAGTGACATTTTCGAGGAGGAAAATTCCTAAAGTGGGGAGAGTTGTAACTGTAACACCCCTTTTCTATACCCCAAAATAATCAAATAAATCATTTAGGCACGTATTAAAAATATCATCAGAGTATAATTAGAACATGGTATAAAAGAGGCACGTCACATTATCCATGAAATTAAAACACATATAACACCTGCTCATAAAGATATGCAACAATGGGCAACTCACAACAAGGAACTTAGCCCGTACCCACATTTCAATATTTAGAATAAAAGCGGAAACATATAAACATTGAATCACTTCGTTAACATAAGCATGAATACACCATGCAGTTTAATTCATTCCATCAGTCAAGTTTACATAAATATTCAATATCCAGATACATATACAGTGTATCCCAAAAGAATCAAACAATTCCTAGCTACCCGAATGTTACATATCAGAGCCATCTGACCAAAACAATGACGACACACATCACAAAAAGGACCTCTAGCAGACCTACTCTGCAATGCCTCATAGAGCACCTTAAAACAGCAGAAGGGTGAGAAACATTATCATAACATCAATGCATATAATTATATATATATATATATATATATATATATATATATATATATATATATATATATATATATATATATATATATATATATATATATATATATATATATATATATATATATATATATATATATATATATATATATATATATATATATATATATATATATATATATATATATATATATATATATATATATATCATAACATCAATGCATATAATTATATATATATATATATATATATATATATATATATATATATATATATATATATATATATATATATATATATATATATATATATAATTATATGCATTGATGTTATGATATATATATATATATATATATATATATATATATATATATATATATATATATATATATATATATATATATATATATATATATATATATATATATATATATATATATATATATATATATATATATATATATATATATATATATATATATATATATATATATATATATATATATATATATATATATATATATATATATATATATATATATATAGAGAGAGAGAGAGAGAGAGAGAGAGAGAGAGAGAGAGAGAGAGAGAGAGACACATCAATTGATAACACAACGCAATCATCCGTCTAATATCATCACGTATCACCCACGACGAAGCTTATCTCTAACGCAACATCGAGAGAGCAACCATGTTGTCTCATTGGTGATCTCTCATCCAACAAAAACACAACACAACATTAAGAACTGATACTAATGCAAATGCTAAGCCTAAACCTATCTCTAGCATTTAGGACCTAACAAGTAGTCATCCTAGATACAGATCTGAAAAGTATATCTCTATCATGATTCAAATCAAAGATAAACAGGTAAGCAAAAACGACACCTATATCGGATAAACGATTGTTTTGCATAAAACACAATGATCAAAATACGTACACACACTTAACCCTTTTTACACGTATTCATCTAATTTTTCAAATGGTTGTGAACAACGTTCTTCATCACTATTATCACGCACCCTCATAATATCGTATTGATCCTACCCATGCTACCCATGCTACTTAATCAACACAACACCATAGAAGATACAATGAATATCAACATACAAAACCATGTCAAAAGTTTGTTCATTGATATAAGAAAATCTGAGATCAAAGATGTGAAATGGTTTTGTCAAAACCTATAAATAAGAAATCAAAGATAATCAATCAACAGAGAATCCAAACTAGTTCGTAAACATAAATTAGATGAAATACATAAGGTATCAAAAAATTACATCCAAATCCCAACAAGAGATCAAAGATCTTACCTCTTCCCTCTTAGGGTTTTGTGTTTCTCTCTCTAAAATAGATGAAGAGAGATAAGTTCTGATGTACGGAATGTTACATAATAGATTGTTGACCTAAAAAGCAATAAAAACACTTAAATAGAACATTCAGGATCTGTCATGTTCGCCTAGCAAACAGATCCTTCGTCTAGCGAATAATAAGTTAGGCACGTGAGATGCCTATGAACAGTCAAACCGCCCCTGAGATATTTCCAAATATTCGCTAGGCAAGCAATTCTTCGCCTAGCAAAGCCTTCACTGCGAGCTTCGCCTAGCGAGTTTATGGTCCTTTCGCCCCTACCTCAAGTCTGGGAGTGTTCGTTAGAGCTTCACTACCACTTCGCCTAGCGAGTCCTTCGCTTCATAGTTCGCCTAGCGAACTTTATGATGTTCTGGAGGGAGCTTCGCTAACAAGTTCACCTAGCGAACTTGCTGTTGTTTGCATGTTGTCTTGGTTTCCTTGCCCATTTCTTGTGTCTTATTTTTCACTTGTTTTGTGCCTAATTCCTGCACAATAACACACAAATCAAAGGTACCAAGATATTTTCTCATAATGTTGCAAACCAACCAAAGCAAGAGTGGTTTTCAACACTTTTTTGACAAAAATGAGTGAAAGATGTCAACATTTGATAGATCAAATAAGCGAAATTTGGCATCTAACAGCTGTCCATAACTAACATAATAGGGAAAATATTCAACAACTTAATTGAATCTGGATGAGCCCAAAATATATCTCTAATAACTTCAGAGTCATCTTTTTTTCTACTCCAATAAACATAACCTGCATCCTCAATAAGCTTAACTAAATGTTGTATCTCACTTCTATGACCTTTTATATTTTTTCTATCATACTCTTCTGCTTGTATATTTGCATGATCCGAGTTACATTATTTGGATATTGCTCTTGCAATGAAAGCAATATATGTCTAGGTGGAACCTTTCTCTTTGTCAAATCAACAACATGTTGCTTCTGATCCGCTGTCAACCTACTAACAAATGCGTGACCTTCTAATCTATCAGGTAAATCATAGTTATGAACTACACAATTTACATCAATCTTCCATCCAGATTCATCAGTCGCTGGAATTGATCTGATTCTAAATGGACATCCACATTTTTTTTGTCACACTCTGGGTTCCAATATCAATATCTTTGTGTTTCCCACCTTTATCACATCTAAATATTAATTTGTTACTTCTTCCTCTCTTGTCTGTTTCAATATCTGAACGAGTGATGATAACCGTTACTTTATTTCGGATTCCGATCTCTTTAATCCATCTTATCATCTCTTCTCGTGTACCAAATCTTTGAGTAGTTGAAAAAACATCAAACGTATCTACGCATATCTGATCTTTATCGCATATTTGTAAAGGAATTTCTGAACCTGCATAAAATAAAAATTAAAAAAAAAAAAAAAAATACAAATGCAAACCAGAAGATTCAAGAAAAGAGCTCCGGTAGCCAAATTTAGCAAATCGGAAGACTTGTAAAAAGTGTTCCGGGTATCAGAACTCTTCAGAAAAGTGTTCCAGTAAACATCTACGAAAAAACCCAAACCGTAAGTCTTTGATAAAGTCTTTCGGTGCATAATTTGTGTAAACTGAAACTCTTTGCCAAAATCTTTCGGTTTGGAAAAAACAGCATACCGAAAGTCATTTTTAAAGTATTCCAATAAACTCGTTTGATAAATTTCTCGGAAGTCTCAAAAATCTGATACAGTAAAAAATGAAAAAAAATACAAAAATAAAATTGATATATTTTTAAAATTATAAAAATATGAGTATAAGCGTAGAGAATGGGGTAAAATCTTCTCCGATATAAAAACGCATAAGTCTTAGATGAACAACAATAACACATTACTAATTTAAATAATATCGAAATCTACTTGCCATTATACTAATGAGAACAAAATAATTAAATCCACATAGCGCGGGTGATTTCTCCAATGGCGACTGCTTTTCTCCCTCTCATTCTTAACACTTCCGCTCCCTCCCAATTTACCTTCCAACCTAACACAATTCCAAACCCTAATTTCACTTCTCTGAATCCCAAATTCAACAAACCCTTATCACGTTCCACCTCTTCCCTTCGCGCCACAAACCAAGATTCCAACCCTCAAACTCCACAAGGTTATATCTCTATCTCTCTCGCTCTCTACCTCCTTGTTAATCTAATTTTCTAGTTAAGCAATTTTCTCTTCACATTTTCATCATCAGATGCCGAAGTTGATAACTTGGGAGTTAAAGCTGCTCTTTCCATCTTGAGATTCTACAAAAGTAAGCATTTTTTAGTAAATTATGGAACTTTACCGGAAAAGACCAATTCATATTCCCAAATACTCGTTGAGTGTTGTTATGGGATGTTATATTTTTCAGTAATAGATAAATGTTACTTGTATTATGCTATTTTAGTTGTCAAAATTTCAACTCTAAACTTTGTTCTCATGATATTTCGAGTGTCCTAGTTCAATCAATTAAGTGTATGTTTGATTTTACGTTTGGAGCTCTAAGAATTGATTTTGACATGTTTGGTTGCTCGCTAGTAGAATTGATTATAATTTCTATAATTGATTCTACTTGAAGCTAGGATTTGTAGCTTTTGAGTCTAAAATCTAAATGCGATTTTTACACCGAAATTTAGTGTTCAACTCTCTTTAAGAGAAATTTATCCAAATATAAATTACTTTACCTTCAACTCACTTTTAGACAAAATCAATTTATTTGAAATCAATTATCTTCACTGCAGAACCAAAAAACCAAATCCATGCTTAGACTCTTTTAGATAAACAACTTAATTAACATATATTAAATAAGTGCTAATGTATAAGCTATTTCGATAAAAATAAGACAAGGACTTAACTACTTTCATATAAGTTATGCAGGAGAGCTTATGGAGTTAGTTAAGCTGAAAACACAGCTTATGCCCATTTCATAAGCTGTTTCTATAAGTTCTGAGAAATGGGTGTGTAACTGAATGAACAGTAAACCATCTTTATATTGGATTGAGCATCTGTGTAACTAAGTATCCATTTCTGTTAGCCTTTGATGTGACAATTAACTGTCTAACCATCTTTTTAGATGCTAGATGAGGGTGTTTGTTTGACAGATACATTTCATAATAGGTCTGAGACCGACGTTAGCATTTGGTACCGGGCCAAGATTATCTCGAAGAAAAAGTAAAACAAGAAAAAAGACAAGTTGTTTTGTTCGAATCGGATGTCAAAAGTTATCTTCACTATAGCGGGCCCTTTTAGGAATTTGAGTCATTATATCATCATTATGTCTTGATGTTGTTTTTGTATATGTAGGGGAAATTTCGCCAATCTTGCCGAGGAGCTGTCGTTACGTTCCAACTTGCAGTGAGTATTCTATGGAGGCATATAAGAGGTACGGTGTTTTGAAGGGTACAACTTTGACTGTGTGGCGTCTGTGTCGTTGCAATCCTCTTGGTAATTTACCAGTAACTTTGAATTGGCTTAACTGCATAATTATGATTTCAGTTCTGAATAGCATCTACATTTTTTGTTTTGAATGTAATAATTAAATTCCTTATACGAATTCAGGTGGGTCTGGATATGATCCTCCAAGATGGTTTGGTGAGATTAGACAAGGGGAAGAACTTGACGATTGATTAGGCATATTTTGAATCGGTAAGCACTGCAAACTGAGCATTTTATAAACTGAAGTTACTTGATGTGCTATTAGTTGTTTTTCCATCTGGTTTCTTGTATCACTTTGTAACAATGCAAGAGAAGTTTTGTTCTTGGTTCTTACCACATTAGGAAAATCAGACCAGGAAGAATGTTAGCCGAGATTGGAATAATGTTGATAATGATAAAATAAAATGTCTTTCATATTTGTACTGCAAAAGAAAATATGGTATGAAACCTGAACATCTCTGTTCATCTTTCAATATCATATGCTAGTAGTACTTCGACAGCTACCCTTTTCAGTCCAATATGGGAGTTCATCTACCTAAGGAATGTCTTATATTGGTTATGCCAATCATACTGAGACACATAATTGGTTTAGAGTGCCTCATATTATAGGAATATTATAATTACTATGTTTTTATCACTTTCTTATTGTGTGAAATCCCACACTGGCCCCACTAAATAGACTAGGCCCGCGCTTGGCATTACTACTAGCATTTCTCCTTGCTAATACTGCTAACAATTAAGATTTGATAGGCTGTGCTTGAAAGATTCATGAGAAGGAGTAGTTCTTACTACTGGTTAATTACTTGTTCTTCGTCTTGCTTCCCATTCTAGTTTAAATTCCACAAATTCTCCGTGAAATGGCATGAACCACTTCGTAGATAAACCTAAGTCCCCCCATTTAAATAAGATAATACTTGAAAAAAGTTTATAAAAAGTGACACCCTGCAATTTACAAGGCAGTTTTGTAAGGATGATTTAAGCCTAATATCTAATATAGTATAAGAGTTTATCTATTCGGGCCAATCCAATAGTGCTGAGTGTGAAGGGTGTATTGGAAAAAACATTACTCCTAAATTGAAAAGAGATAAGGCCTAAAAAATGTTCTTAAAAAGTGAAATCTTTTACCTTACACACTGGTTTTGTAAAGATGAGTTAGACTCAAAACCCACTAATAGAAAATTATTAACATACAATAATTATTTAATTCACCTGAAAATAACAAGAATCAGAAAGGATGATTGGAAGGCTGTGTTGTGGTGGTATGTTAAAAATTTGCATGACACCATTAATATAAACAAAAAGTAAGGATTGCTGTAAACTGTATGTGGATTCCTTGGTTTCAAACAGGGGATGGAGGGATTTGTTATAGTTGATGAGTCCAGAAAGGAGATCTTTACATCTCGCAGTGTCATATTCTATGACTTGCAATTTCCATTTCACAATACATAAACAGCCAACCCTTAATCTATTCATAACCCTCCTATATACCTTGATGAACCATTCATATTGGAATCAGTTTCTCCTTCACCTGAATCTAGAAGGTCAACCGGCAAATATTTCTCAGCTTATCTCCAATCCATGACTATATGTGCTAGTTATCCACTGCGAACCCTCTTTCAAATTATTGTCCTATCACCACATTTTCTCCCTTCACCTCAAATACACTCTGTCCCTTTCCACTGAGATTGAACCCTGTACTTATGCAGAGGCCAGTAAACTTTTCAGCTGGAAGAAGGCTATGCAATACGAGTTAGATGCACTTATACGCAATGGGACTTAGAGTTTTGTTGATTCTCCTCCTGGTGTTGGTAACAAATAGGTTTACAAAATCAAATGCTTTATTGATCCATCTATTGAAAGATTTAAATCTAATCTAGTTGCAATGAAATACAACAACAAAGTAGAGGGATTGTATTTGCTAGACACTTCCTCCGCTGAATTCCAATCTAGCTGGAGTGTTATCAAATATTTGCAATTGCGGGACTATGGCAGATATACATTGTGGTTTTCGAGCTCGCCGCAATAGTATATTCTGCCATAATTAGTTAATTGTAACACTGGTTAGTAGTAACAACTAACCAATTACGGCAGCATATACTAGTTAATTACATGTAGTAATGTACAAGTATATAAGCTCAGATTGTATTTAGATTGATTGATTCACAGCTATATACTTGAGAAAGTCAAACTGTTTTCCCCCTTCTCTTGTACTATTTTGGTAGACTTTATGTTGAAAGATACTATATTATTTCCATTTATCATTAATATTATTATAATAGTTTTATGTTTATTTTATTTTTCCTTATGTCTCTTGAAATTACTGAGGTGATTAGATTGATTGTATTTTCTCCTATAAGAAGAGCACTTTATTTATAATATAGTACTACAAGTCTACAACCAATATTATTCATAACAACTTATTTAATCTAGCGATTTATTACATCTAAAAAACAAAAAACTACATTTATTCCATCTAAAGTTGAGTAATCAGCTTTAGCTTCTCCTCAATGTTTTATGGGGCTTCCTTAAGCAGTTACTGTTGTCTCCTTAGCAAGGTTCTCAGTGTAAACCACTTCTGATTTTACGTCTGCCTCCCATAGATCAGGCAGTGCCTCAGTAAGGTTATGGATGCTTTCCAATGCATAATCCGCACCTTGAACTTTTTGCGATCTACCGACCTGGATTTCGCAATCAATAAGTAGTTCATATAAGTTGTGACTCGTCGAAAGGCATCATATGGTTACTAGTCGTGTTGTTATATAAGTCATTAGCGATGTAGCGTATCTGAATATGAATAGATTACTAATGTAGTACAAAAAGTTGTCAGTTCACGGATCTATAGCACAACTGCATAGCAGAATTTGAATAAATTGCTGTTTTCTGCGATTGACAACATTGGTTACTAGAATCAAAGTCCATCTCTAGTTTCTACTGCAAACCAAAAATTTCCAATGACTTACCAGCACAGTGTCAAGTCCCAAACGTTTTCCAGCTTGAATGTTGCGGACACTGTCTTCAAAGAACAACTGAAAATGACATATAAAAGCATAGGAAAATTTAGCAAACATATCAAATAAAAAGGTAGCAAAGTTAGATCATAAATGGCGATTTTCTTACAGTTTTATGTGGGTTAATGTTGGCTATGTTGAGAGCCAATTCAATGGCTTTTTCTGACGGCTTGCAAACAACCGGTGTCTTTGGCAGGTTTCCACTGGGATTTTCCTGAGCAAAGTGGCTTATGATGTCAAAGATCCGAGAGTTGCTTGCTCTATTACTAGTTTCCAGCTTAGTAGCACTTGTTGAGCCTGCGAACTCAACGTCATCTTCATCATCAGTGACACCGCTCTTGTTGATTGGATTAAGAGTCTCGAAGCATATAATTCCTTCAAAGCAGTCTTCTAATCCAAGTATGTTTAGTGTCTTAAGAGCATGAACTTTGTCTGCATTTGTGAAGATCTATCGACAAAAACAAGAGAAGCAATAGTAACAGTTAGATCATATTATATTATACACCTTCTGCAACCTTATTCTACGAGTAAAAGTTCATTTTGGTCCTTTCGATTATAAACTTACGAGTTTCCTATAGGGCAGGCTCTTCAACATGTTCCTTAGAACCGGGTCCGGTTTCAGGTTCTCATAAGGTAATCTCCCATGAATAAAACTTCAAGGATAATAAACTCAATAATCATTTTAAGTTTCGACCATTTCAAAAAACACACATGGGTTAAACATACCTGTGATATTCATCATAGTCAAATTCATAACCAATTGCCTGAATCATAATGAAACAATGAACATATTTTCAGCATATTTAGAATTTCTAACTGAAAACTTCATTTAATATGATAAGATAAGGATACTATGTAATCATACCCTTAAACCTGATAGAGTTGTTCCATAGTTCTTGTAAAGAAGGTTGCATAAGTCATCCGTTTTACTTGGTTCTATGCCAAGCTTTTCAACCATGTAGGCTGAGATCAATGAAATCAATGTACCATTCATGTTAAAACACATTAATAATACTGAAAAAATAATGTGAAATAAGACAATTATTACGCAGAGTTGCTTACCTTCAAGATTTTTCAGAATTGCATCTGCAAGACCAGAACTGAGTGGATACAAAGTATCGTCTAAATCTGCAGAACGATATCATGGTTACATTTGTAATTTGCATGAAAATGAAAATGAAAATTTCAATATGGTACTTGAAAAATGTTACAAATATTGCATTACTTACCAAAAAGAAGGCAATCATATTTTTGGTTTTTTGCAAAGTGGTCCTCGTGCTCCATTTCGTTAAAACCTTATGCATAGAACACGCGGATTAAAAATCAAATGAAGAGGAAAATATAAAGAATGTCATGCATGGGAAATATAGGTGAAGCCATTAGCTTACCAGAATGGTTGATGATTGGTAAGGGCAGATAAGAAGATGATGGTTGCATGGTTCTTGAGTATACAATATGCAAGCAATTTTGAAGTACTAGTCTATGAATCTATGATCAATGATCAACAATGAAACTCTTATATAGCAATTTTAAAATTCCCTATAAGAAAGTGGATTGTGATTTTATTGATAAAAAGTGTTTTTTCTTCATGCACATATGGAAACAAAATCTGTTTTTCTTAAATTCAAATAAATAATAATCTATTTTTCTTTTGTAAAAAAAAAAATTAAAAGGAGAATATGCCTTTTGTATTAGCAAACAATGAATTTGTTACATATTGCCACCTCACAAATTGCAACTCTATTACTTTTGGTAAGAAGACCATAAGACAACCTATGAATGTAGACATAATAACGTTGTAAGTTAGGATTATACTATGTATATTCCATTATCAAGTTGGTAATGTGGAAAAATAGAACTTAACTGCAAATTCACTTCCACAATTGAATCATTAATGCCACGTATATCCCTCACACTTCATAAAAATTTGGATAATATCTCACTTTTTTTGTGGATAATTAAAATGACCATATTAAAGTTTTGACTTACCTACTTTTTTATAAAAAAATTTATATACATTGTTTCTACTAGAAAATTATATGTGCATTGTTTTTGTTACTCATTTACATACATTTTAATATTATATAATATCTTATTATATAGATTATTCTTATAAAATTTTGCTAAAATCTAAAAGCAATTAATATATTATTAAAATAAACAAAAGACAACAACGTAAACAATAATATACATTGGTCTAAAAAATAATACATATACAAATTTTCTCTAGAAACAATGTATATAATTTTGCTAAAATCTAAAAGCAATTAATACATACATATGTAGATTATTCTTATAAAATTTTGATAAAATCTAAAAGCAATTAATATCGAACCGGATCAAACCGGTCGGTCGAATTGGTTGAGTTAAAAATCTGCGGAATTATCGAACTAATTTAATTGTTGAATAAGATAACTTATCAAATAAGTGAGAATTAATTAGAACCAATTAAAATCGACAAATTGACCGTTTTAAAAAACTGACCGATTAAATATTATTTTTCATTAAAACATGGTTTGTATAGTTAAAAAAAAATGTAAATGTAAATAGACTTTTTTAGAATAACTTTCTTTTATTAGAATTAAATTTATTAAACAGTGAATTATTTTTTATTCAATTTATATTATAATCTGTTTAAAATTTATTTGAATGTGTATTTTGTTTGTGTAATAACTACGCTTAGAATTGGAATTTAAATAATAAATTTATAAAATCATGGTATTTTAAAATTTTAAAATTTTAGAAGTGTAATTTGTTTTAAAGATCGAGCCACTCAGTTTGATCAATTTAATAACTATATAATATTGTTATAAATATCAGTTTATTTAATTAAATTATTCGATTTATTCTGATTTAGATGTGCAGTTCGACCAATAATACAGTAATTTCACGAATAAATCATTAGTACCTTCACAATTTGACGATCGGTTTGGTTTTAAAACTCATTAATATATTATTGAAATAATTAAAAGATAACCAGCTTCAATGTTCACGCGTGAGGGTTGAATGGTAGACTCTACCTCCCCTTACTATGACATGCATTTGGTCCAAAGCTATGGTAGACTCTCCCACACTCTATGACATGCATTTGGTCCAAAGCCATGATAAACACACACACACGTAGATAGTGTTTATCGTGCCATTCTTCATAAAAATGTCACCTCACTTTATTTATCCATGGTGAATTTTGCTTTCATTTTTCCATTTACTTGAAATTTCACCATGGTAGTCCCACCAATTCTAGGTAAGAAGAGATCAAAATAATGTCACTAATGCTAATCCCTTTAATATTAGAGCTATTAGAACTACTATCATAACTCATGAATATCATTATTAAAAAATCTCCAATTAACATTTTCATGCACTCACCTCAAACTCTCACAATAACACTTCCACAACTTCAACTTTCCTTTGTGGGTATCAGACTCTACTACGTTACTATGAATGTCACAATCTCTAAGGAGTATCATCTTTTAAATAGTAAAGAAAAAAAAATCCAAAGAGTGCAAAAATACAATACATGTGGTAGGACTTTGTGAGGTGGTGAGAAAAATTGTGGGCTGAAGAAGCATTTGAAATGGAAAATAAAATATTGCTATGGGAAAATTATAACATTTCAAATTTATTAATTGTTTTATTTTGAATTATTGATGATTTACGATGATTTTTGGTGTTTTATTTAATTATTAGATGTTGGTGCGATTTAAAATAAATGATCTAAATGTGTGTTGTTGGGGGTGTAATAGAAATAGTAGGGTGCGGTGAGACGATAGAGTAAGTTAGAAAATGATTGTAATAATTAGAATTTTATTTATTATTATTGACAAAATAAGAAATTGAAGAGAATAGGAGTTTGAGCCAATTGTGGAATTCGAGAAGAGTTTGTGGTAAGAAGAGAGAAGTTACTATATATTTTAAAAGTTGGGAGAAAAGTTAGGTTTTGAGAGATTTTATCAGTACGTGAGATTGGAGCAAAAGAGACAAAGAGGGATAGAAAAAGCTAGAGGTTAAAGAAGAAGGTCAAAGGCTTTTGCTGGAGATCAGGTAAGGGTGAAAACTTGTTCCAATATTAAAGGGTATGGTAGAAGGGTAAAATGGAGGAATCCTTAACCTCTTTAGGGTTGGGTGTTTTTATTAATAATTTTGAATTGAGATGATATGATGGTTGTTATATGATTATTATATGATGAATTTCGTGTGCCTTATATGTGCGTATTTTTTTCTGTTTGGATGATTGAACTTATATCCACCATTGTTGCAATTTCGAAAGTTTTAGGCATAATCTTAAAATAATGATTAGATGATTTAATTGGGTTAAAATTATAAATTAACTTGAGATAATTAGAGTATTGCATGAGTTGTAATTTTATGAGCGTTTGTGTTTTTATGAAATCGAAATCGGAGGTTCGGAAGGCCTCTAACGATGTTAAGATGTTGAGTATTATTCCTATGCCTACTGTGTTGGTGAAGTTTTTGTCCATACATTCGGTTAATAAATTGTTGACATATCTCGACGATTTTGGTCATAAATTTTATTTCGCATGTGCGATTTTCAGGTCATTTGAAGCATTAGAAAGTTATCGATCAGACCTATAGCATGGTAGTGATTGTTGATATGTTTGAATATTATTCATGTGCCTACTATGTTAATAAATATATTGGGTTATATGTTTGGTTAATGAATCATTGCATTTTTGTAATATCGTTATGTGATAACTATGTTGTTATGTTGTTGATGTTAAGATGTTGATGAGTTGCTGTTGTGTGTTGATATTATTCACGTGTTAACATGAATTGGTTCTTGCATGATGAATGATGTGATGCATAAATGATGAGATGTGTGTGGGGATCCTTTCGATGAACCTTGTTGTGTTAATGCATGCTATTTGAGAGTCAGGCATCTTGGAGTACGGGCTTCGGTCCAATTTTGGTGAGCCTCGATCCTATGCTGATTGATTAGGTGCGAGTAGAAAATTCTTATTATGGGGGGGGGGGGGTTCGTGAAGCATTATATATGCTGATGGTAACGAGTTTTGGTGAGCCTCGATCCCTTTATGATGAATCGGGTGCGAGTAGCTAATTCCAATTATGAGGGATTAGTGAAGTGTTACCTATGGTGATGGTAGAAATTTTGGTGTGCTCCGGTTCCAAGAGGAAATCAATCCAATGGTGGGGATCATGGAGTGAGATGAACCTGAGTGTTCATGTTTGGTACCACATGCATGTCGAGTCGGTGTTGAGTGTATTGTATAAGTGCTGCATTTGTATTTGTTGTTCTTGATGTGCTGTTGGATGAGGTTTTGTTGCATATTATGTTAATGATAATTGATATGTGGTTTTGTAGGATAATGATAATAATTGAGACTTTTTCGTGTATGATGTTGATTATGATTTGGATGTGAGAATATGATATATTGTTGTGCATGATTGTGTAGATGGTGTACTCTATTCTTCACTTTATACCATTTATTATTGAAATAAATTCTCACCCCTTATGTTTGAATGTTGCCTTTACATGAGCATCGTGCAGATACTCAAGAGTAGCATTGCTGAAGTAAGTGGAAGGTAGCTCTTGGAGTGGCTTTTAATAGTTTATCGTTTTCTTTTTTAGGGTCTTGCTCTGACCACGTAACATCGGGCTGGGAACGTTTACTTTCTCTTCTTATGTCATATTTATGTTGAAGCATTATAACTATGTGGTTGTTGAGCTGATTTATTTAAATTCTTTTATTTTTTATGGAAGTTGAAGTTGATACTAAATGGTATGACTGCAATATGGCTTTTAATTGCTTTAATTATGATTCTGCAGCGATGATACCCTAAGTGAAGGTGAGCATGCGATGACAGGGGTTTATGTGAAATTTATGACCCGTGTTACGGAGCGTGATATGTTTGCTGTGAGTGACATCCTTTGTGGTTGTATTTTCATTAAATTATGCATTAAAATTGTATGTGGGGTTTAGGGTGTTACAAAGTGGTATTAGAGTAGGTCGGTCCATCCGGCTAGGTTGTTTAATTATGTTTGCTCCCTAGTATGTGACATGTATGTGAGAACACTGTCGATGCTTGTTTTGTTTTCCATTTGCATGTTGGGAATGAAACAAGTGTACGAGAAGCGAATGCTTATCTTGGATGTTCCAAATGTAGAGAACTCGAACATCACGTTGCTGCAAGCGAGAGTGTGGTGTTGGCTAGCTTGACTATTTTAAGAATGTTGTGATTTTCCCAAAGCTGAAGGAAGGTCGGATTCGAGGAAGGTGTCAGTTAGAAAAATGGTGTGATTC